TGAGAATATTTCTGACAAATATAGTGCATATATAGCTGCAGCCTCAAATCATACTGAACCAAAGTCCTACAAAGAAGCTGCTAAAGATTCAAGATGGATAGAAGCTATGAAGTCAGAAATTGAAGCATTACAAAGTAACCATACTTGGGATTTAGTAACTCTTCCTGAAGGAAAAACTCCAATATGCTGCAAGTGGATTTTCAAAATCAAATATAAATCCACAGGAGAGGTAGAAAGGTATAAAGCCAGACTAGTAGCTAAAGGATTCAACCAGCAAGAAGGTATTGACTACCAAGAAACATTCTCTCCTGTAGTAAAGATGAAGACTGTTAGAACAGTATTGGCACTAGCTGCAAAAAAGGGATGGTGTGTACACCAAATGGATGTGTTTAATGCTTTCTTACAAGGAGATTTGTTTGATGAAATATATATGGAATTGCCTCAAGGTTTCACAAGTCAGGGGGAGAAACAAGTATGTAGACTTGTGAAGTCATTATATGGATTGAAACAAGCACCTAGACAGTGGAATGCTAAGCTGTCTAAGGTTTTAATGGAGCTTAAGTTTAAACAAAGTGAGTATGATCAGTCTATGTTCATCAAGAAAGATGAATCTGGAATGGTGATTATTCTTGTGTATGTGGATGATCTACTAGTCACAGGAGATAGTTTAAGAATTGTGAAAGAAACAAAAGAGAAGTTGAAACAGGTGTTTAAAATGAAGGATCTTGGAGAACTAAGATACTTCTTAGGCATTGAGTTTGCCAGGTCTGATCAAGGTATACTTATGCATCAAAGAAAATACACCTTGGAGCTTATATCAGAGACAGGGCTCAGCAGTTCTAAACCAGTTGCAACACCAATGGATACAAATGTTAAGTTAACAACTAAACAGCTTGATGAATATATCAGATTAAAAAGTTCAGAAAAGTTCAACTCAAATGATCAATTAGCAGATCAAGGAGCATACCAAAGGCTGATAGGAAAGTTGTTATATCTAACTGTGACAAGACCTGATATAGCATTTGGTGTCAATACTTTAAGTCAGTTTCTTCAACAACCAAAGAAGTCACACATGAAAGCTGCCCTAAGGATTGTAAGGTATGTAAAGAATCAACCAGGTTTAGGATTTCTGCTGTCCAGCAACAAGAATACAACTCTCACAACCTACTGTGACTCAGACTGGGCTTCATGTCCTCATACAAGAAGGTCAGTGACAGGTTACTTGGTTAAATTTGGAGATTCTCTATTAACTTGGAAGTCAAAGAAACAAACAACCATTTCAAAGAGCTCTGCAGAAGCAGAATACAGGAGCATGGCAGCCACAGTTTCAGAGTTAATTTGGATCATAGGTCTGATGAAAGAGTTGGGAGTAAACTTGAAACTACCTGTGGATATTTACTCAGACAGCAAAGCTGCTATACAAATTGCCGCCAATCCAGTATACCATGAAAGAACTAAACATATTGAAATAGACTGCCACTTCATAAGGGAAAAAATAGACAAAGGAATGGTAGCAACAAGATACATATCAACAAAAGATCAACCTGCTGATTTACTTACAAAAGGTCTTAATACTGTTCAACATTTGTATCTCAATTCCAAGCTAGGAACTTGTAACATTTTCACACTACCTAACTTGAGGGGGAGTGTTAAAAGTAATTAGTTCATTTAGTTAGTTAGTTATAATTATAGAGTAGTTAGTTACAATTCAAGAAGTTAGTTACTTGGGAAATTCTTGATTAAGGCCTCTATATAAACACTTCATTGTATCTCAATGTGATTAAGAACATGAATAATAAAAGCTGAGATATTCTCTCTGTATACTCTTCTTCTTCTTAGCTCATCTTCTCTTCTCTTTGACTAATCTGTTTTCCCTCTTCTTCATCTTCTTCTTCTCTCTTTACTTCATAACAAGTACATTATGGCTTTATCAAAGAATAAAAAGAATTGGTTTACAAAATTATTATGAACCCTATTCGAATATTCTTACAAATATAAATAATAAGCAGTATTCGTAAATCAATTCAATTATTCGTTGTCGGATTAATAAATTTTGTTATTTCAATTTTGAAAATCGTTTTAAAGTATAAAGAATGAGATTAAACTTGTCTTCATTTAGTTTCATTATATATTAGAAATTCAGGACAAAAACTAAAAGTGTGGACTATTCCTTTAAATTATCAGGGAGTGATTTGAAAATATTTTTAATAATCAAATAGAATAGAGAAAGAAGTTTCTATTTGGTGCATATCACATGATAATATTTACTTCAATGAATATATCTCAAATTCAATATAGTCTGAATTCTTTTATGAATCTATATCTAATAAATATAAATGATTAGAAGTAATTTGTGCATTAGCATCAATATTAACTATTTCATAAGTTCGAGTGTCTTAGACAATCAAGAGTGATTATGAAATTTCTCATTCTATTTTTTTATGCTTTACTTCAAGAACAGTTCATTCGTGTAATTCTGTCGTTTTTCGCTTTTGCTCTATGGTGAGTAGCTTTTTTTTTTCCTTACTTTTTTTTATTTAATTTGCTGGTTCCTTTTTTTTCTTTGAGTGATGCATATGATTGTTCATTTCGTGTTTTTTATTTTTATTATAAACCTAAAATCAGCTTAATTTTATTTCTGATTTTCACTCTTTTCTCATTCGTTCTTCTTCCTTTAACATGTCATTTAGGTTATTTTTTAGTAAATTATTTTTGCTCTTGTTCTTCTTTTCTAGTTTTATTCTATTGTATGTTGTTCTTTGCAATTTCTCGTATTTTTTACGTATTTAAATATCATGATTATGATTGATTTAAACATAAAAGTGTTTGATTACAAGATTATAATGGTAAAAATCTATTTTTAGTTATAAGTTACAACAACAAAGGCTTGTCCAATTGATTTTATATAAATAAAGAAATGAAAATAAAGGAGAAAAGGGTCGTCACCTCTGTTAAATTTTTCTTCTCTTAAATAAAGAGAATGAATGGAAAATGAAATGAGTGCTTGTTTTGTGGTTTTCATACTTGTCAGATTTTTTTTTCCTTTTTGAAAAGGTCCCTCCTTCAATAATATAATTGGATTGACCACCCCAGATCATGTGTAAATAGAAAAAATAAATATGCATAGTTGTTCTAGCTGAAACACTTGAAATAGTCCTACCACTTTTACTGCGAGAATCTTTTTAGTGGTAGTTAAATGTAAAGCAATGATTTTTATAACGTCAAAAGGGTTTTATTCAATAATAACGAATCAACTCAATAATTAATTTTACGATCAATTAGTTAAAATATGTATGAGAGTTAAAAAGTTTGGAGATCCACATATAAATATGCCCCTACTAACAATGAGGTTTTGGAATCGCCCTCCAGCAATGTTTAGTTCCGGTATTTCTCAATGATAATTTGAGATTGTGTCAACTCAGTCAGGAGCGGCTCAAGCATATTAGTGGTCTAAAGCAAAAATTAAAATGGGGCTTTAAATTTGTATCGTTAATAACTTTTATATAATTGATTTCTTCTAGTTTTTAATTTATAATAAAATCATTCTTATTTTAAATTATTTTTCATGAGATATAGTATTTCAAAAGATGTCAAAATTCTTCTAATAATTCCTTCATTTTACCTTAAAAGTTTACTTTTTTTACATATAGTATTCAATATTTATTAAAAATAATAACTTATAACCTATTATTAAAAAAAATGAAGTCCCTTAAATTTGGGGGCGTAAGTCGCATGTCTTTTTTTTTAACATTGTTGAGCTACTCATGAACTCAGCAAACTAAGATCTAAATATTACAATTGATTTTTTATACAAAAAATCAAATTAACTCATCAACTTTTTTTTTCTTGTTGGACTTATTATCTATCGACCATCATAATATGTCTAAAATTACATCATCTCACCATGATAACATGCGTTTAAAACTCTATTTGACGAACTTTTTATAGGATAAAAAACACTATAAAACAATGGTTAAAATCTTTCTAGAAAAGATCAAAGAAGAGGGTCAAAGAAATTTTGATTCAGGCGACAAACAACATGTTATTCTCCTCCAGTCTGCATATATCATAAGGTTAGTAACACAAAACATGTAAATAGATATTGATCACATATTTAGAAATTATTAATATATATAAGGGAAAAGACACAAAAATCCCCTCTGAACTTGGCACGAAAATTCACTTTAGTACTTAAACTACACGGGAGTTTATATACCTCCCTTAACATGTTTGATGTGAATTATTTTTAACCTTCCGAGCACTAGCCCAGTTAAAGGTTGGGCATTGTTACACACGCACGTTTTTAGTGGTCCACGTCGCCTAAAGATTTTAAAAATATCTTACCCCTTCCCAAAATACAACCCGACCCACTTATAAACAGATATCCCTAAATCTCTAAGATCCGTTCCCAAATACAACCCGAACCACCCGACCCATTTATAAACAAATATCCCTAAATCCCTAAGCCCGCGATTCTCATTCGTTTCTTTTCTCTCAAACTTAGAAGATCAAATCTGAAGATTCTCTTCCATTAGCGTGAACGAGTCATTGATTTTAGGGTTTTCGTGAAAGAAATAAAGAATCGCGTGAAGAAACTACCAGGTTAGTAATCTTTGTTTAGATGATTGTAGCATTTGACCGATTTTAGGATTTTCGAGAAGCTTAGCTTTTTTTATCTTTTCAGCTTGACGATAGATATGTATGTTACCTTAAGGTTTTACCATGGTGGAAAACTTCAACAAAAACCTCGTGTGGAAAACTTCAACAAAAACCTCGTATTAAGTATGAAGGAGGTATGATCACTGATTGTTTTGACGTAGAGGTTGATAAATTGTCCTACTTCAAATTTGTTGATATAGTTAAAGATATTATGTATAACTATGCTATTAGTGTTGCTTATATTAAACCACCTAAATGTCGACATGTTGTTGAAGTGAAACGTGATTGGGATATTATGGGTATTGTACCTAAATTAAAAAATGGAGATTTGTTGAACTTTATGTGACTCATTTAGTTGAAGAAGCTGTTGTGGCCCCACCAGCAATTGAATATGATGTGGGTGGGGTAGGTGGGGAATCTAATGCTACTTTTGATAAGAAATCTAGTCAGACTTTTGAGGATAGTGAAGGTTTAGGATTAGAAGAACCTGCACAACTTGCATAACCTATTGTAGTGAAGAGTTGAGTGAAGTGTTTGGTAGGACTTCTACTAGTGCTGGAGAGGAATTGGGTAGGGCTTCTGCTAGTGTTGGAGAAGACTTGGGCGGTACTTCTTTTGTTGATGCATCTGATATTACAAAAGTTGGGTCTGATTGAGAAAGTGATATTCAGACAATGCAGATTTTTCTAGATAAAGGAGAAGATGAGTATGGTAGTGATGTTCATGAGGAAGTTATAAATCTTAGGAAAGAAAAGGGCTACGAAAATTAAAAAAAAATAAAAAGAAAAGGTCCCTAGAAGATCTGAAGGAGTTGTTTTAGGAAAAAAATGAGTTGATTTGGGATATGATGAATATCTATCCAAGAAACAAACTACTTTAGAGGGTAAAATAGCCGGAGATGAGCCCTACTTTAATTCAGATGAAGCTGCTAGTTTTGAAATAGATATTGATGATGATGTTAATGAGGAAGATGAGGTTGAATTGCCTATAAGAAGACAAAGAAAAGCAAGAAGAGAAAAAAGAAATTAAAAAAATTGTATTTGATCCTACATGTCAGTTAATAGTTCGAGAGACTAGTCTTGCTTTTGAAAGTGTTAAGCAGTTTAGAGAAGCTATTACGAGATATGCAGTTCAAGAACATGTTGAATTAGATAAATATGTTAATATAGCAACTAGGGTGAGGATAAAGTGTACAGCTTGTTGTTCATGGTTGTTGTTTGAAAGTATTGATTCAAGAACGGGAGATTCTGTGGTGAAGAATTACAATCCAGTATATAAATGCAATGGCATAACCAGAAATAAATTGGTCAATTCAAAGTACTTCACAGAAAGGTACAGGGACATACTTATTTTTGAATCTGGCATTAGAGTTTTTCAGTTTCAAATTTTAGTGATGAAAGAGTTGAATATGTATGTAGGGAGGACTGTAGCAAGGAAAGCAAGAAACATTGTGTTGCAACAAATTATGGGTGATCATGTAGAGGAGTTTAAAAGAATTCTAGATTATAGAGATGAGCTCTTAAGGACTATTCTAGGAAGCACATGTGTGGTGAAACTTAGTGAAGAAACTTTTGAAGGTGACAGAAATCATTTTACATATGTTTTGATGCTTTAAATAAAGCATTTAAAGCTGGAGCTAGGAGATGTATAGGATTTGATGGTTGCTTCTTGAAAGATAAATCTAGAGGTCAATTACTTGTGGTTGTTTGTAAGGATGGGAACAACCAAATTCTACCACTAGCATGGACAGTTGTTGAGGTGGAAAACACATTCACTTGGAAATGTTTTATAAAGATTGTAAGACATAATCTTGAGCTAGGAGATGATACAGAATTGACAACCATTACTGCTATGCAGAAGGTATTTTTATTTTCCTTCTCATTTATTCATTTATTTTCTTTTCCATTTATTCATCTATTTTATTTTTCATTTATTCATTAAGTTAGATCTCGTGATATTCTTTATGTTGTTAAAAGGTCTTGACAAAGCTATTCAAGAACTTCTGCCAAATGCTGAACAAAGAATGTGTGCAAGACATGTTCTACCCAACTGATCTATCAATTGGAAAGGCAATGAAAGAAAAAACTATTTTTGATGATGTGTCAAATCTACATATGAACAAGAATTGAAAAGAAATTTGAATCATATGGAGAAGTTAGGTACTGAAATAATTGATAACATATTGTACTACGATATAGAAAGGTGGTCTAAATTATACTTTTAAGTTTTTTAGTTGTTGTGATAGTGTTGACAACAACATGGTTGAAAGCTTTTAATTCATGGATTTTAGGGGCAAGAGACAAAACTGTCATCATGATGCTTGAATAAATAAGAGTCAAAGTGATGAGAAGAATAGGACAAGTGAGGGAGTTCAGTGATACTTGGATAACAGACATATCTCCAATGTCTTAAAGGTATTAACAATGTAACCTTGAATGGAATGGTGAATATAGCTTTGAGGTTAAAGACAGCTGGGGTAACACATTTATTGTGAATCTAGGTACACAAACATGTACTTGTAGATCTTGGATGCTAAGAGGAATACCTTGTTGTCATGCTATAGCTGCACTTCATTTTAGAAAATTGGAGCCCATTAACTATGTTGCACATTGGTATAACAAGGATACTTATCTCAAGGTCTATAGTCATTATATTCAACCAGTTACTAACATGGAAATGTGGCCACAATTGACAAACCTTCTGTATTACCACCTGTTATCAAAATACTACCAGAAAAGCCTAGAAAGTGCAAGAGAAATGAGCAGAATGAAAGTAAAACAGAAAAATTGTCCAAGAGAGGTTTGAGATGACCTGCAGCCTTTGTCATACAAAGGATCATAACAAGAGGGGTTGTCATTTGAATAATCAAGCTAATGCAGGCAGAGGAAGAGGAAATGAGAGAGGAACAAATACTAGTTCAACTAGGTCAGGTGTTGGCTCTTCTACAACACCAACTGAATTATAATCAAACACAAAGAAAGGAAGAGGTCGACCAAGAGGTTCTACAAAACAAGTAATATTTATAGTAATTCATGTAGTTGTTATTTTATATCTTTATCAGTCGAATATTTTTGTTAATCAACTTATGTTATAAGCTAGTGCTACTAGAAGGGGAAGAGGAACTGAAACTGATTTAGTTGGAAGTGGAAGGGGACGAGGAATTACAACTGGGTTTGTTAATGAAACAGGATGCTATCAATGATTTTGGTCCTACTGGAAGGGGTAGAGGAACTGGAACTGGTGTAGCTGGAAGGGGAAGAGGAATTGTGACTACTGTAGCTCGAAGGCGAAGAGGAAGAGAAAGAGGAACTTGTGTAGCTGCTACTACTACTGATGTTCCTTGTGCTACTGGAGGAGTGAAGAGGCCAAGAATGGTTGGAATGGGGATACTACATACACAGAGTGATTTTACAATCCATAATGTAAGTTGTCTTAAATATTTACACCTTTTTTTATTGTAACTTATGAAGCATCTAAGACAATATTTATGTTGTGAACGTAGCATGTAATGCCTATGAACTCTTCAATAGTGACTGGAAATCTTGGGCATCATAAACCAAGATCACGCTTAAAATGGAAAGGAAAGGATGTTGTAACTCAGCAAGGTCTTCAAGAGATGAGAGAAAACAAAAGGAGAACAAGGCCTAATGCAGATGATGTTGGATATGGAGACTGTTTTAGTTTGATATTTGAGTTGTTTTTGAAACAATTATGCAGTTATGATTACTTTAGATTGATATTTTATCTGTTTTTTTGAACAATTATGCAGTTGTGGCTGCATTAGTTTGATTTATATTTATTTTTGAAACAATTATGTTGCAGTTGTGACTGCGTTAGTTTGATCTATGTTTGAAATAATTATGCAGTCGTGACTGCATTAGTTTGATCTATGTTTAAAATAATTATGTAGTTGCGACTGTTGCATTAGTTTGTTATTTTAGTTGTCTCTTTTTGAAACAATTGTGCAACCAATTTGCATTACTTTTACGAGTACAATTATGCAGTTGTGACTGCAATAATGTGAATGCAGTTGTAAATAAAAAATAAACGAAATACATAAACCAACAAATTGCATTAACAAAATAAGAAGAACCAACATTTCATTACAAAAGAGTCTTGCACCTAATTGATTACAACATAAACAGTACTACACTACTCCAACACTGATCTCACTACATCCAGAGCTTAAGGTAACTTCATTGAACCTTTCTTCTTATGCATCACTCAGAAACAATAGCTTATAGCTATTACCATAACAAAACAACAAGCTACAACAAAAAAGAGCATGTTCTGTCATGTTCTTCTCCATCTATTCTGCATTACTTTCATCTTCTCAACCTCTTCTTGCAGCATTTTTAACTTCATACCTAGACAATCATCATGTTGTTTGAAACTTCTCGGCTTGTCAACTTCTTCAGTATCCTCAACCAATTCAAATGCAGTGGCTGAGATTTGAGACAATTCTACTATACTATATTCTCAAGCTCACTTGATTTCTGTATTAGTTTAGGAATCACAAATTTTGACCTCAAATCAATATTCTTTTTATCCTTCCTACACCAAAAGTTGCAAGATCTAGGACCCTGCAATAATGAAAAAGGATGAAGGAATTAGTAATCAAATTCTTAATCGGCTAAAAGAAAATAAATAAAAATGATGTTTACCCAATAATAAGGACATGACCAATATCTTCTTCCAGGGTTATTGGAAGTTCAATATATTTTCAAACGCACCACAAGTCCATGATTACAATAAAAAAATTTCTTCGTAGTATAATCATCTTCTTCCATACAAAGATTTGTCAAATTAATTGATCGCATTATGTGCTACAATTTTGTGCAAGAAGTAACGAGAATCTGGAAAAAAATCAGATAACAAGAAAAAGGGAGGAAATAAAAATCAAAATAATATAAAAAGAAGAATAGGTTTGAAGCTTACATTTTGATGAACAATTATTCCTTCAAAGATTCAACTTTTAGGTTTGAAGAGCTAAGATTTGAGAAAAATAAAGAAAAAAAGCATGAATTAGGTCACCATGGATGGATGATTGGGTTGGTGAGGAGAAGGGAAAATTAGGGTTCTATAAAAGAGAAGATTTACATTCAAATATGTAATGGGTCGGATATTACCGTTGGAGGGCCAAATTTTATTTTTAAAAAATGCTAAAATATGAATTACGTGCCCTTCAAATTTGTATCAACACACACAGGAGACTGTAGGTCGGAAGGTTGAAAATAATTCACATTAAACATGTTAAGGGGGCTATATAAACACCCGTGTAGTTTAAGTAATAAAGCGAGTTTCTGTGCCAAGTTCAGAAGGGATTTGATATATTTTCTCTTAACGGTGAATTTCATAGTCAAGTGATTTAAAAAAATTGCATCAAATTTGAACGGTTTCAGTTCATTAATGAATTGAATGTTGAATCAAAATCATTCATGGGAAATTGTAACTTTTTTAAATATTTTGCGAACTCACCAAATAATTTACATCACTACTTTGTGTGAGACCGAAAATTATTACAATCAAATATAAATGAGAATCTGAAGAATTAAATTGGTCTAATAATTTTTCAAAGAAATTTGAGCAATTTGAAAAAAAAACATAGTCTTTGAAGAAATTTTAGATCTTAATGAATATTTAATTTGACCAAAATAGCACAAATTATATAATTATATATATATACATACATACATACATATATATATATATATATATATATATATATATATATATATATGTGTGTGTGTGTA